TTTTTTTTTTTTTTTTTTTTTTTTTTAAGGTTTTGTTTTCCCCTCTTTGGAAGTAAGGTTGGTTCGTGAAATGGGTGATCTTGAAAACGACGAAATGGGTTTTCGAAATTCAAACGAGGGGTTACTCAATTGTTCATCTTCCGACAAAATTCCAGGAACAATGGCGATGGGGTCTTTCTTTGGGTCTGGTTGGGATCCAATGGTTTCTTCCCATGGCGAATTTTCAAATTCTTTTCCTGTTGTCTTGGAGAGCCATGGTGGGAGTGGGACGACACAGGGTGTTCATTATCCGACAGATTTGGGGTTTGGCAATGGGAATTATTCCGACATGTTTGGTTCTTTTGGTGTTGCCGGGCAGATTCTTGGTGGGTGTTCTTCCAATTACAGAAATGGAGGAACCACAGAGAAGTTATTACCACTATCAGGTGAAGAAACTGCTGCAGGATCACCAAATGGTAAACTCAGAAAACGAGCCCTTGACTCCACTTTCCCATTTAGCCAACCAAACAAGGTAACATTGATGAATCTCTAATCATTTCTCTCTCTTGTTCATCATTTTAATTGCAAATCATGCCATTGACCAGAAATCTGAAGTGAAATTGAAGAAGGATGTTTCTGGAGACAGTTCCAGTACACAGGAAGAGAAGAACGCAGAAATGGAGCAGAAATTAGGTGGTAAGGCAACTGGAAAACAAGCTAAAGAGAAGACCAATTGTGAATGTTTGATTAATCCACCACACCTAAATGGTGTGAAAGTTATCTTATTTATAATCAAATAAATTACAAGGATATGGAAATAGTAATAAATGGAAATAACAATAAATGGAAAGATACCTATAGTAATAAGGCAAATATCTATATTTGCCTTATAATAAAATATCAAATATAATATATATGGTAAACTATAATTTATTACTAAATATCCTTAACACCCCACCGCAAGCTAAGCGTCGGATTTAAACTAACGTGAAGCTTGAATCTGAAAAATTCAAAGAGGTTGAGAAACACTTTTCGTGAAGATGTTAACAACCTGGTTCAGAGGAGGCGTAGAGAAACACTTTCTTGGCCATCGAAAATTGCAGAGGGATTGCTGCTTAACGGCGATGCTGCCTTGGCTTCGGCGAGAATATGTCTAACCCATGAAGAGGGATTGTCGCTTAGCAACGATGCTGCCTTGGCTCTGGTGAGAATATGTCTAACCCCAAGAAGTAGAAGGGGAAACCTAGAGTAAGGGACAAAGACAATGTTGAAGCCGAAAGAGTCGCCACATTGGGCGAAGGAGCCAATTTTGGCGAGAAGGGCAGCTGGAAGAGTCGCCACATTGGGGCGAAGGAGCCAATTTTGGCGAGAAGGGCGGCGGCAACTTGGTTGGCGAAGATGCCAGTGCAGCGCCCAGATTCCAAAGGTAAATCTCTGCAGAAGGTCGATGGGCTTATTGAGATTCTGTATATTTTCGAAGAGGAATGCTGATGAAGATCCTAAGATTAGGGTTTTTGTGAAGGATGAAGGATGAAGGGAAAATTGGGAAGAAAATGAAAGAGGCTATGTTTGGAAAAGGTGAGGTTGTATGTATAGAGTATGGCGAAGGATTATTTGGAGGTCAAAAGGGTGGAGCCGAATAATAATCAATCGGCTCTGCATGTGGCAGCCATGACGACTGCCCCTGCGGCGTCAAAGCCAACAGTGGTGGTGGAGAAG